CCCTAGAGGAAAAAAGCAACTGGGAATTGCTGACGTTTTGCTAAAAGTAGGCTAAAACATCAGCTGACATTTGGCGGATTTTAACTAAGATTGACTGCGTTTAGCGGCGTTTTCCAGCGGTTCCACTAAAAATTGCAGACTTTTGACTTGCGTTCTACTGAGGGCTCTCCCTGTAACAGGAGTGAACTGATATTAGCTGAGTAGCTCGGCTGCGTTTTACCTGGCGGTTGACTAACTGTAACTGATATTACCTAAGAGGAACTGAAGGTGCGCCTGATGTTATCTGTCTCTTACCCTGGAGTCTACTGAAAAGCTTTGCTGTACTTGACTGACTTTTGCTACATTTTAACTAAACCTCGAAAACAAAGAAAAAATAGATTGCGTATTTGAACCCCGAAATATCAGGACGGAAGTCGACACTCTAGACCACTACGCTATACGCTTCTGTCTGGGTACGACCGGTCGGGGTAGAGTGTCTCTCTGACTAAATGACGGTTGAACTGACTTTCGACTGATCTTTACTGATATTTAACTGAATGTCACTGCGTTGCGAGCAGTCAGAACCCGCTACGGAGTGAAGGTCTTCAAAGAGAAATTTTTTAAGTCCAGCCCTCTACTCACAAAGGAGCAAACCTTCAGCTTAACGCAGTCACACAGTTTAACTGCATGTAGCTATAAATTGACTAATCTTGCTGGATCGAGTACTCTCGCAAATGTTAGTTACGGCATAGTCAAATTTTAGTTAAGGGGGCCGACTGACAGTTACTAAATTTTGAATATATTTTACTGAAATGACGTTTATCCAAAAGCCGTCTAAAACAGAGGCAAAATATAGGGTCTTTAGCTGACTGATAGTATTTGTACTTCAACTAAAGTGACTGAAAGCGGTCTCAAGTAACTAAAAGAAGAATCGGTCGGTATCAGCTCGAGTGAATGTATTTCCAGTCACTCTTAGTCGCGTCCGCAGTCGAGGAGCAGTTGTGATTAGTTAAACTTCAGTAAGAAAATGTGACTGCTTTTAGCTGTGAAGTAACTGATGCATAGACTGCATTTTGGCTGATTTCACGTTAGCTAAACTCGGATTAAAATGCCGGAATAATCCGGGAAAATCATTCTTATCCCAGTCGCAGTTAGTAATTCGCGGCCAAAAGCAGTTCGCTCAGTTCATCTGCAGTTAGATAATAGCAATCTTCAGTTAACTTTTCCTCTAGGGACATTTTCTTTTTTCCACAGATATATGTATTTATCAATATGCCAATATGCCTCTTTTTCCAAAATTCTTTTAAAAATACCGCAATCGGTTTTACATTGTCGAAATATTTTTAGCGTGCGACGTCGCAACACGCCTTCATTCTGCATTCATGTGTTGACCCAATTACCGTCTTTATGAAAAATTCCGCGGCCGGACTGATGGACGAGTATCGAGCCGCGTCTCGTTATCGACTCGTTCACACATGAATGTGCAAACAACGGCGCGGGAAGGCACGAAGAGCCGCGTGAAAAATAACGACCAACTCGCTATGGAGGAAAGGCACAACGCGTGTGCCAATCTGCCGTCGACAATAATTACGATTATTGACCGACTTTTGTAATCGTTCCTGCAATTAAAACAAATTTTTGTACCCCGTCGCGAGTAATTGAATTTGCTGGTCGAGCAGACGCGTTTTGTTTTGGCGGACGAAAAAGCTGAAACGGAACGCTCTGCCTAATGAAACGCGAGCGGTATGCCCTCCCTCTCTCATCACCGCCATCCCCACCCGTCCATCCCTTTACGAAAAGGGTGTGAAGTCCATTAATTAAAAGTAGAGTGCCTCTGGGCTGGCTTGGCTGGACGCTGTGAATATTTTCTCTTTTTTTGGCTTCCCTTTGCCGCTACATTTACCCGCCGGGCGGGGGTGTTTGCGGCGAGGCGGGGCGGGGCGCGGCGCTGGCCCGAGTCCATCCTTCTAACCCGCGAGCAGGGCTTTTGGATTGCACATGAAAACCAGTAGCGCTGGCCGGTTACATGTTCGTGAGAGCAGTGAATGAAAAGTTGTGTTTTCTGGGAATTATGCTACATGCAGAAATCGCGACGGTTTAAAATGTCATGCGCAACATTTAAATATGCCAAGTGCATTTACTCAAGATAGTAAATAATTCTTTGTTTCCACTGAAAAATAAAGGACTGAAACGATTCCAATACCTTTGCAAAGTCATAAAAAAGAGCATTCCAACAGAGCTATAACCCTTGCAAATTTTTGTGCCTTTCCATTTAACCCCGAGGAAGGCCTACCTTTGGTTTCCCATTTTTACGACAGAAAATTTGTCAGGACCTGGCCATCAATGTTTAAAACAGTGTATTTGCCTGCCTCGGTTCCTGGGTCGGCCTTTCACTCGCCCGCCCGGGCGCGCTGCCACCGACCCGGCCCGGCCCCGTGCGACAGACATGCTGACTCGAGACCCCATCGGTATGCAGGGCAGGCGGGCGCGCCCGGCCCACCCCCTGAGTCTATCTCTCTCCTCCGGGGGATCGCGATGCATGGCGGGCGGGTGCACGCCGCCAGGCCTGGCCGGGCGTTACCGAGCGCATTGTATCGGAATAGTAGCGCCCCGCCCCGCCCCGCCCCGCCCGGCGCTGCCCCGGCGGCGCGCGGACACCTGTTGTGAGTGTCCCTCGCGTGCTGCGGCGCCTCGTGTGAAAGAGCAGCAGCGGCCGGTTGTTATTTTATATCACGCGGTGGAAATAAAAAATGTAAAAAAATGCCCGCCTCTGCAGCCCCAGGTTACACGGGCGAGCCCGAAAGGGAGGAAGATGGGGCGGGGGCAGTTGCGCCGTGCCATGCCCCTGCTGCTGGCTGGCTGCGCCCCCCGCGTCTAATGCGTTCCTAATGCCTCGCCCCCTTTTGCTCAGGGGTGCTCCGCGGTGCGGCGTGCGGCGCTCCCCATGTACTCGGACGGGATGGCGGGGCCGGCGCGAAAAGCGCGGGAAAAATAAAAATATTTGAAAAGAAAACAAAAATGGTCCAGACGTGCGCATTAGTATTCCCCCATCCCATAGGCTCCCTAGTCTGTCGCACTATGAGGCGGATTCGTCATCATCATCGCCATAATCGCCCGCTCCGGCTGCTGAAATGGCTCGCCGTTCCTGGGGGTGCTGCGTCGCGCCTCGGCCGCGCCAACACCCTGCACCATCAAGGAAGCGGCAGGCACTCGCAGCATATTGCAAAGCGGTGTTGTTGCAGCCACATAGCGCGTGCACGTGGCTGTGTGCCGGATGTGTGTGAGGGGGAAGGTGGTGGTGGTGGTGCTGCTACGCCTTATCAAGCAGCCCCATGTCGTCTGCTTCCTCCGCGCGCCCCTCTCTAGCTGCTCATTCCGGAGAGAGCGAGGCGCGGGGGGTGTCGCATCTTGAGAGTGGAGAGCAAGGCGGCGGCAGCACTCAGCCTCGCACTCTCGCACACACGGGGAGGGCTCACTGCTCAACGCCATTACAATCTCGCCTTATGACTTTGAAAAGTGCTGGATCGCCCAAGTCCCCCCTCCCCCCCCCCCCTTGCCTGTGTGGGCGGCTGCTGGGCGCGGCGCTCTCCACCACCCCTCTGCTGACACCTGTCCCGGGGGGACCGCCGCGCCGCACGGCCCTCCTCCTGACTCAGCTCGTGTTGCTGTTTGGCCGGTCCTTCTCCCCCTCTCTCTCTCTTCCTCTCTCCCTCGCTCTCCCCCTCACTCCCTCTCCGTCTCCGTCTTCCTCTCCCTCTTTCTCTCCCTCTCTCTCTCTCTCTCTCTCTCTCTCTCTGTCTCTCTTCATGCCTCCCCCTCCTCGACCCCATCCCCTCCTCTTGCTTCCCATTTGGCAGTCGCTCCATCTCGCTGATTAACCTTTCCCTATCTTCTCTCCGGGAGTGATATTTTTTTACAGCCTCGGCCTCCCCCTTCTCCCCTGGTGGCTGCGCTGGGCTCCCTCCCCTTTCGACAAGGTGCTCTGCTCCCTCCCGGGGTCAAGCACCCATGTGTTGTGTGTGGGGGTGGGGCTGAGGCCATCGAGCACCTTTCTGCGACATCACACTCCACAGTGTTTAAGATTCATACCCATGCGCCCTGTGCCGCGCCTCTGCGGGCCTCCGCCCGGCTGGTTGGCTGCCCTTTGCCTCGCTCTTATCCCGAGCTATAAATATAATCCGTTGAGGGCAATTTGTCCCTCATAATTGCTCTGGAACTCTCACCACCGGTGGTGCTGCTGTGCACAGGCTCTCCCTCCCGTCTCCTGCCCCGCCCGCACCCCTCCCCCGCTCCGTTAAACACCTCCTCCTCAGCTCTACCGAATCCCCCCCCAAAGCCTGCTTAGGCCACCTTAGGCCTTCCCCGACCATCAACCAAGTCGCTAAAGCCTATAGTCCTCTCGCCCGTCCTCGAAATGTTTTGCTTAAAAATCTAATGAACTCCATTTATCTGTTTGCAGGACCCCCTGGGCCTCAAGGTCCACCTGGCAAGAGAGGAAAGAAGGTACGTCTTGGAAACGGCTTTTATGAAGACAGAATGCGGAGGGCGGCATATTTACATTTTTAATCGTTTTATTATTTTCAGGGTATACCCGGGGCCAAAGGAACGCCGGGGACCCCCGGACAAAGTGGATTTCCGGTAATTACTTACACTAGGTGTTTTCAGTTATTTAAAATTATTCTAATGCATGAAAGAAATGTATAGAGATGAACGAGACAAAAAAGTGTGACTAATACATGGAAAAGATCGATTATCCTTCAGTAGTTTGAACATTCTGTCAATTGTTGTATACTTTTATTCCAGGGCTCGAAGGGGCCCAAAGGCGATAGAGGTTTTGGGGTAAGGCCGTGCAGAAACTGTCTAGAAATCTACCCCTAGAGCGTCGTAGTGACATATTAGATGTTTTAGAACTCCCCTTTGTAATTTTTTTGCCCCACTCGTAGCTATCCTAAGCACATGTAGGCTTTCGCATTTTTTGGGCGTATTGCTTGCGTGCGGTTGTGTTGTGAGTGAGCGAATCGTTATGGCAGTTAAGCTCACATCCACACCACATAATGGAGGCCGTTGTTCCCAGCAGATGACTGGGATTGCTGCGCATTGCGCAACTGGTCCTCACTTTTGGGGAGCACCACTTGATTTCCTGATCGATGAGCCCGTCGCGTGTCCGCCGCGTGTTAAGCCGCGGGGCCCATTAGGATTGCGGAGGGTCAGGGAGGAGGGGTTGTAGGCGCCGGGCCGCACCACGCGGAGCGCCACGCGGAGCGCCACGCGGAGCGCCACGCGGAGCGCCACGCGGAGCGCCACGCGCCGCGCGCCAGCCGTGTGTCGCGACACGATTTATGCCGGCCTGGTCATTCCCCAGAGCGACACGGAAAGGGCGGAGCCTGGCGGAGCCTGCTCGCGCTTCCTCCGCCACGCGCGCCTCGCTGACAGCCGAAAGGCTTGTCGGCCTCTCCCCCTCGAGAAACAGCGGCGCCGCTGGGAATTATGCAGCCTCCGATGTAGAGTCATCCCCCTCGATGTTTGTTTTGGGGAAGAGCGCCTCTAATTTCTTAGAAATACTAGTGTGCTCAAGTATTATTATTTTTTCTTTATGATTTTGCTGATACATTGTCAGCTGTTGCTCCTTAGTAGTTGTCAGCTTCGTCGCATGCTGGTAATAATACTCTTCGTTTATTATGCTTTCCGTGATATTTTACTAATATTAGTTAAAAGCTATCTACTAACAGTCGCGCACGGCAAAGCTGGAAGACGAACAGTTTATTTTTCAATTCCAATTTCAAACCGACGAGTAGTCAACCTATCTGAGCGAATCGTTTTGTTTTCTTTAAGGGTGCGATCGGTTTGGACGGGCCCAAAGGTGACCCGGTGAGTTGAAGGATAAATGTGACTTGCAACGGAAGTCACGAGGTCTTAATGCTTCCTAGCTGCATCTTAGCATGTGTAAACTGGGGAAAATTATGAAAAAATGCTTTATTGTTTTAAAATTAGAATAGGATATTTGTTTCCTATTCCTGCATGATTTACTCCATCTCCCTTTTTTGGGGATCGGCATTTCTTAGGTGCCACCGCATCCTGTTCTTTGCTTTCTGTAAAAGTTTAAAGACAGCCTTGCGCAATGCTCTGCAAATCAAGGTATAAACCCGTTCCTCTGGCTTGAATTTTAAATTTTTTAAATTTTAAAATTGCAGCTGCTTCTGCCAGATAAAAAGAATAACTACTTACATGTCCATGCCGCTAATGCATGGCATCGCATCACATTGCGTGCTTCGACTGTTTCGTCATCTTCAAAATTTTGTTGCAGGGTGCACCCGGAGAGAAAGGCTCCAAGGGCGATCCTGGTGGTCCAGCGTTCGACATGTATGCCGCTGTCAAGGTAATTATTAATTCATAGCTCTTTCTTATAAAATTTTATTTTTACTTCCTCTCCCATACCTTAGCAATACTGTTGCAGTCTTCTGGATGGAAATAAACACTTTTAGAGATAATGTAAAGGAAATGGAGGAATTTTGCTGTAAACTTGCAATATTTGTAGGGGCTGAAGCGTTCAGTGACAACTCTCCGAGGAGGAACGTTAGGATACGCCGAAATCGTTGCGGTGAAGGTATGGAGACAAATGGGCAGCAATGCCTTGTCCGCATTCACATGTGCTTGGTTTTCTTCATTTGTTCCTCTTTGGTTGGCTGGTGGTTTACTTTTTTGTCTCCTTAGCTGTTGGGAGAGCTGCTGTCCTCTTTGTCTGTTTTTGGTAATTTGGTGAATTGATATGCAAAGGAAAAGTATTCTTAATTGGTGCCCTTTTTATTGTGGTTTTGTTCTCGGAGTAATTTGAGGCTAAAACACATTGCTCGCCGTCATTCTTCCATTCATATCCGTTACTAGCATAAATTTAAAACGTAGAATGCCCATCAAACGATTGTACCTAACCCCCTACTAGCCCTAAAAAGATTGCGATTACATCAAAATATCTCCTAAGTTATCTTTATTTGCTTTCATTTATGTCCCATTTCATTTCCATGTCTTTCACGCTTGTCAGCTCTCTTATTACTGGCATGCAAGACCATTAATATTTTGTTTTCTTTGCTCGTTTTGTATGTTTTGGTATGATGGTGTAGAACCTTTCATTTGTATAAAACTTCCGTATAGTAGATATGTTTTGATAGAAATGAAATGTTAAAAAGATTTCCGAACCAAAACGTTTATAGAGTTCCATTTCTGTTGTTATGTTTCGGTCAACATGACTGCTGTGGTAAATTAGTTTGAAAAACAGCAAACACACAAACTGCACAAGAACTTTAATAATCTGGGAGTTACATTCATTTTGTGCTGAATATTCGTACACCTAGCGTTTCCTTGCACGCGCTGCCCCTTCGACCCGCAGCGTGTCATAGGCATTCCGGCCCGAACGATTCAATGTGTAATCTTCTCAACAAGCAGCAGTTTGTGACGTAAGAGAAGTTTGTTTGACCATCGGTCACACACAATAAAGTATGTGAAAACCAGGTCACTAGAAGTCAAACACTGTTCTGCGAAAGACGTGGCTGTCTCACTCTCTTTGAAATGCAACATTTTATCGCGCAGTTTTAAGTGTCCGAATGTCACATGGCACGTGCAATGAGACAGCTCGTACGATTTTAGTATTTTGTTGCCCCAATTTGGAAGGAGGTACACCGTTAATGAAAAAATATAGTACCCAGCAGTGTTGTTTACTAGTTTGTTGTAATAGACCTATCTGTAGTGGCTGTGTTTTCTGACCTGTGTTGTGCGGTGACGGTTGACGATACTCTTGTATTTTTGCTTTAATTAGAAATATTATTGCACGAAAATTTAGCAGGAGTGCCTGCCTTTTGAAGTCAGTGATGTGTTTCTGAATGGCTATGTGCAGTGGAGGGTACGAACTTGAACACCCGCTGATCAATTTTTACTGTCAGTCGCGTTTCCTTCTGTATAAAAATTTGCTTATGAACCCATTTCAACATTTCGGGTAAAGTAAAGACATAACTTAACTTTGTTTTGGTTTGTGGTGTTCTTACGCCATGTGCAGCGGTCAACTCGTGCGCCCACTGCCTCCCGGCGGGCCTAGTGTAGTGCAGCAGGTGCTTTTGCCGCTTGCGCTCACTGGTTCGGGGGAGCTGGGGCGGTTCTGTCCCATAAGTTGATAAAACAATTCACGAGCTTTGTGGAATTCTTTTAGGGACTACAAGAGCAGGGGCTCAATATTTCGGCGCAGAACATCATATATGTCAAAGTAAGTGCAGCTTAATGAATGGTGCAGCTCTTATTGGGGCTGCTCTGCACGTCACTCGTTACCTGATCTTGGTCCGCTTCTCATCCTTGCTTTTCCGGACTGGTCTATCAACCTATGAAACAAACTGCTTTTTGGAACTTTTAAGGGAAACGGGTCTAAAGAAGTTGCTTGCCTTCGGTCGTAGCTGCTTTTAAAATAATAGTGGTCTTATTTATGTCAAAGACCAATCGTAACCACGTGATAAAACATTGCGACTTCCTCTATACTAACCATGAGCCAGTCGCTTGTACGTTTTACAACTTTCCTACTTGGTATTTTGAAAGTGTTTCAGAGTCTATGCAAAGAATATTGTTTGTCCCTCTCTGCTCTTGAAAATCATCCCTAATAACTGTAAGTGACCACCGAACAAGCACTGCATGAACTCATTCGCGTCACTGTCTTACGGAAGCGCCTGCGCTGCACTCTGCTTGTTTTGCATGCTTACTTTACTGTAATTTATTAGTTAGTTTGACTGTCGTTTTTTCCACTCGGTGCAGTAAAGGAAGAGTTGCGTTGTTTTTCGTGACTTGATTTACGTCTTATTTAAATTGTGGCTAGTTTTTTTCAAGGCACACCAGTTCGAAAATGTTAAATTGCAACTCTGTTGTGTAGGGCGAGCGAGGGGAGCCTGGGCCACCCGGGGCGGCGGGCCCTGTCGGCAAAGAGGGCCTACCAGGACAGGACGGGAGGCCCGGACCGTCCGGGGAGCCAGGACCACCGGGTGAGAGAGGAAGTGCGGGACCAGCTGGACCTGTGGGACCGCCGGGGCCGCCGGGAGCGCCAGGACTGCGGGTAAGTCACCTTTACCCCCTTTTCACGTGATCAACTGTAAACTTGTGCTTTGCTGTTCACTTACATAGGTCTGCACCAAGTGGTTACCATGGTTACTTCACATCGTTTATCTTGTAACCTAGGTACAAACTGCGGTTTTTCTCGCTGACCAGTTAATCCTTTGGCAGGAATCTGGCTAATGGCCATAAATTGTTTCTTGGCTGAGTTTTGGAGGTCACTTCCGGCATTTCCGATGTTTCAGGGACAACCAGGCCTCATGGGTCCACCAGGTTTTCCGGGCATCCCAGGACAATTAGGATTATCTGTGAGAATTTGCTTAGTGCATCCGAATGAATACTGGTAGCACAAATATGTAATTTCCCTATTCAAGAGAGTTAATATTGCAGAAAACGTAGATACTGGCTATAATGTTGCCTTATTCATTCGGATTGTTAGTAAATGCGAATAAATACATATAACGGAATAGGAGTTTCCAGTTCTATTGTTTCCAATTTTGTTCAGGGCATTCCGGGGCAAAACGGAACAGATGGACTTCCTGGTCTACCTGGCCAACGAGTAAGTCGCCTCGGTGGCATTTTTGCCGGTGGCGCGGAGTTCCTTCCTGGTTGATGGTTTTTCAGCTTCTTAAGGTTTTGGGGCTCCTGTTTCCTTTGATTTGAATAACATACATTCTGGAGCTCTTTCTCTTCATTTTTACCTTTGCCCCTGCTAACATTTAGCTTTTCTTTCGTTGTAAGACATTTACTAACCCATGTGTTTTACTTTTCTAATCCTTAATTCCGTGCTCGAGTTGGTGGTTGGAACTAGCTAGTCCTTGTACAGCAGTCAGTGTTACTTTGTCTCACTTTGTGTACTTTGTGTTGACAGGGTGAAAAGGGCGACAAGGGCGAGAGGGGTATGACGACTACGCTGACAGGAGACCAGTTCCCTACTGGTATAATCGAAGGCCCACCCGGTCCACCAGGCCCACCAGGTGAGGAATTTATTACAGCAAAGATGTCGTCTACAGTCTTGAGAAGGGTGAAATGACCGGTGTGCCAAAATGGTTACGTTGATGATTTCCCAGAAAGTACGTCCGTTTTTGTCAGAATCGTGCGGGGAATTGCGGAAGGCCCGGCGGCGCCTGCGAGACGTAGGGTAGGCCGTCCCACAGCACACGCATGCACTCCTACTATAATGTTGCCTACCTGCCAGGCGCTATGAGAGCCTGATTTGGCTGAGCTTGGCAGGTTATGGACGTACCTTCCGGGTCATCTCTTAACGCCGCGTACTAGATAACTCGAGAATCTGGGGTTGCGTGTCGAGACAGTGACGGTGGTTAGTCGCAATGTAGAGTTGTTTGCCGTAGCTAAGTTGTAAAAGACCTGACGCAGAAAAAAAGTGGTAAGCAGTATATTTCGTGACGTAGTATTTCTGTAGCGGTACATCAGAGACAGTACTTTTCTATTTGTAAAACAGTAATGTAGCACTCAGTGTATTGTTGGTCGTATTTTTGTATTTTAAAGTTACATTTGTGGTAGTGTTTGTGTTTTCATTAGCTTGAAGTAGATCGCCGTAGTGACGTAGATTGTTATTTGACAGGTCCAGAAGGTTTGAGAGGAGATAAGGGCGATTCAGGCCCAGCTGGCCCAGAAGGTCCGAAGGGCGAGGTTGGAGAGAGAGGGAAGCGCGGAAAAAGGGTAAGGATTGTAACATGCCAGTCTACAAACTTTCCTTTCCTCCAAGATACCCTACTTTCTTATCGTAATTTTTTTATTTAAGACTATGCCAAGATTCATTATTTATTACTTTTTAAAACTCTAATCATAAAATTCCACCCTAAAAAATTAAAATTTACACGTTTTTCCATAAAATGTTTATTTTTGTTTTTTAGTTTCTGATACATGGCTTTGTGTGTTCGTTTTACTTTGGATGTGTTTATTTGTCTCTTCTGACCTGAGGGGGCCACGACTCACGTAATCCTGTGTGCAGGTGGAAGTGTATTTCCTATGTAACCCCTGTAGTATAATAAGCAAATGTTGAAAAATTGTCATTTAATTTCACCTAATTATCCAAATTTAACGGTTTTAGCCCAAGAAATTCAACAAAATTTATGTGTAATCCATGTACTTACGTAATCCTGCGTACATCCTGAAACGAAGTGGTGGCCCCCTCGCTGACCTGTGTCTTTTTTGCTCCTGTTCCTATTCCTTATCTAACATTTGCTGTAGTGCTTTGGTAACATTTGTGGTGGTGTTTCTATGCTTCTAATACGGCCTTTCATATCTTATTTAACACACTAACTGGACATAACTAACACAATTAACAACAGCTTTTTCACATAATACAAAATAGCCATCCCTCACTCTTTGATAACTGCGTTATGATAACATCCGCGGTAGGCTTACTGTGGTGGTATATACTTATTGCTTTGTGTATTTTTTATTTCCTTCTAACACAATACGGTAGTTTGAAGAAATGCTTGTGGAGGTGAAGCCTGTGTAGACTAACAAGTTCTTTCTTTCTCCGGTCTTTCCGGTAAGTCAAACGTTGCTGGGAGGTGTGCATGGCACGGTCATGAGAGATGTACCTTGCACACTCGACCTGTAGTGTAAACATTTGCTTGCGCATGGCTTCCTTTCCGACTAACCATCGTATTTATGAGCCTGTCTATTACCACTGCCGTAATGGCAGCATTTGCATCTCTGCCCGGCTCCATGTTCCAAACGGCTGCACCGGAATGTGTGTAATACGTTTAACACCGTTAATTAGCTAAATTAACAAAGTTCTGACAGCTTCGTGCCGCACTTCTAATGGAACCTGCTATTAACTCCCTGTTGCTATTTAAAAAAATAAAAACATTTAGTGGAGTGCGGCTGACATCACACAGCAGAACATTTAAAAAAGGGTCATATTGACTCAAATTTAACGTTGCCGTTGGAACATGAGAAAGGCTAAGCTGACTCGACTCGCTCCGAACCAGGGAAGGAAAGGCGACCCAGGCACAGCGGTGGAGCGCGGACTACCGGGCCTGCCCGGCCAGAAGGGAGAGCCGGGAGAGGCCGCACTTCGTGGAGAGAAGGGAGACAAAGGGGATACTGGGGTATCAGGTAAAGTCTCTGTTGGACGGGCAGGGGAGTCTCCGAGTGGGAGCGTGGCCGCGCGTGCCCTTTTTATTCCACTCCAGTGTCTGTCTCTCTCTCTCGCACCCGACTGACTCGTCATCTCGTCTTTCTGCAGGTTCAAAGGGCGATATGGGTCTCTTGGGGCCTCCGGGACTCGACGGTCAGAACGGCGCGACCGGGCCGCAGGGTCCGCCAGGCCTTCCGGTGAGTAGTGGTGCCTCCAGCCGCCCCCGGCACCCACAAGCACGTCGGCATGCCCACGTCGCTCACAGCTTCCCTCTGTTTGCAGGGTATGTCCGGGCCCAAGGGGGAAAAGGGCGAGTACGGCGACATCGGCCACCCCGGTTTGATGGGTCCTCCCGGCCTTCCAGGTCCACCGGTGAGTAAACGCGCGGTGGTTTGAACTTGCCTCCTCCGCTGCTATTGCATGTCATTACGATCACCATCCTCTCTCTCTGCTCACAGGGATATCCGGGTGTGAAGGGAGACAAAGGCGAGAAAGGAGAATCGGTAAGAGTCTGGCGTTGGATTGAGATAATGGTAGCTCAGTGACGTGTTTTTAAAGCAATCGGTCGTGTAGTGCCGCTTTCTAAGAAATATTCGACTCTTATGAAGCATTTCTTTTGTAGCTCCCGTCGCGGGTGGCTAGAGTAAGTGAATAGACGTCATGTCCAAACATTTGAAAATTGTCTCGTTTCTTGCTCATGGCTTCTAAAATGCTCTGAGAGAGTGGAATGGCAAATTTAAAGTGTGCTGTTTAACTTCACAATCTGTGTCAGTTAAAGCAGAATTTTGACATGTGCTGATAGGAATATTTCTGGTATTTTAAGTCATTATATTGTTAAAAGAACGACTAGCAATCCAGGTTAAAATATATGGCACGGCTTCAATGCACGACTGACTGTTCATGCATCTGAGGTTTTGAAGTGATTGTTGCACGCTAATGAATGTTTGCATTTTGTCTTTCTTTTTACGGCTACTTCGGGATCTTCAGAAATACAAAAAGATCAGACGACGGCAGGTAAATATCTTCTCTGCCCCTTCTGCTCGCAAAGCTACCTAGATATAATGGAAATATGCGAGACTGCGAGAATGCGCCCTGATTGCATTTTGATCCTTACCACGTCACATGCCATCTTTTAATACACTTTCCTTTTCTTTTTGAGCAGGGTGATGGGACCTTTGAGACAGGAGGCAGCGAATTTGTAAGTAGTATTGTAACTGCTTCCCATTTTTTTGGATCTCGTACTAGACGTTGAACGTCACTCGTTCTCGCATTAATGTGTAATTACGATGACATGATCCTACTCTCTTTATGCCTTTCTTTCAATCAGGTTATGGGACCACCAGGCCCGCCTGGGCCCGGCGGCGCACCAGGCCTTCAGGGTCCGCCTGGCATCAAAGGCGACAGAGGGATGGATGGAGCGAAAGGAGACATGGTAATGAAATAGGCGCTCAGGCCTACACGCTGGGTTTCTTTACTATGTATGTTATACATGGCTATGTTAATCTATGCACTGAACGAGCTTTATTAAAATTCTTACATTACGTTCTTGGCCATCTTGCATAAAAAATCTCTAATTTTTTGTACCTACACTGGAAGTCCAAATGTGTGAAAACTGCGCAGGTGTTGGTTTGTGAATTCAAATTTACACACAAATGGAAATCAAGGTGTAAATTATCCTGGGCTTTTTGGTCACTTTTGCCAGTGTATGAATAGAAACTTACAACATCTGTGTACTCCGGTGTGTAAAGTAAATTTATACTTTAAACTCTAAGAAATTTCACTTAATTTACGCATTGTGGATAGATTTGCATAAGTTATGTGAGAACAGCAAAATGTCACGAATACTCGACCAACTATGAGTGTTGAGTATTGACACCGAGATTTGTTTATAAATTAATCTTTTCGTCTGCCAAACTACATTTGCCTCACTTTTTAATGTTTCAGGGCGAGAAGGGAGGGAAGGGGGATCCTGGGCCAATGGGGCTACCCGTAAGTACCAACAGTTTTACCTGAAATCATCCATGCACTGCGCCGGTGCTCACTGTTATACTTGCCTCTAGGGCCCGATGGGACTGCGTGGTGAGCCTGGGAGGGCAGGTGATCCGGGAAAGCCAGGCCCGATGGTAAGACCTGTCGTGTGAACGTGACCAAGTGATACTAACACGCAAGCTGACTGGCGGGCTGTAGAGTTGTGCATGAGGCGCCACCTGGTGGAGGGGTGGGGCAGGGGCATCAGCTGCACAGTACAAAGTAGGAGGATTGCCGTCCGAAGAGAGACTCTTATACTTGTTAGAGGGATGTATGTGGGGAGGAGAGATGTACATTATAGGTTTGTATTGACTTTAAGGCTGTCGTCGCCGAATTGATTTGATTGCCATAAAGATCCCAAGTATTAGGGCTGTGCCCACTTAGTCAAGCGCGAGGTTTACTCGCACGTGGGATGTTTATGATCGACAAATCTTTTTGTCGGAGGTAGTACATCAGGGGCACGCCAAGTTATTTAAAAAAAAAAGCCTTTAAGAACCCAGCAACATGCCGATATTTCGGTAATAATTCGTCATTTTTAAATTCTTTTCATTTCGGACCGAATGATGTTGGGATCACTTTAGTGTTGCCTCGCCGTTTTCATTGTAATTATGAAGCATAAGTTTGATGTACAGTTTCATGGAAACAAATCTCATTTTGTATAAATTTGTGGATAACTCTTCTTTCGTGCTGAAATGCATATAATGTTATCCAATCATATAATGATTGTGGATGGCTTTCTCTTAAATGTAGTATGTATAATACCTATCAAGACTCAATTGACGTTATGAAATTATTATTTAGAAAAGAAAACAGCAGCTATTCGATTGTACGAAAAATCGAGGAATGTATTTATTTTTTACATCAAATGGCCAGTGCAAATATTAGTTGTAATCTCCGAATTTACTACGTAAAGTTGTATGACAGTTTCTGACATCCACAATATTGTGGGAATCGTGATATCAGGTATGAAATTGATGTCCATAGTCAAAATGGAGTTTCTTCACACTTTTATATCTGAAACCAGTATGGACATACTGTTTTGTTCTCTCAATTGTTCTCGCTAAGAGTTTGATCGTGCCAAAAAATGGCCGCGTGGTGCATCGTTATCTTGCCCTTTTCTATTTTATATGAATGCGTTACTATTAAAGTGTACTTAACATAGTCTATAGCAACGGTAAGCATCGACAAGCGATCAGTAAAGTTGTTCTGACAAACACCTGTTCGCTAACAGTCATTCTGACTCCCTTTTGCCTAAACACGCCGCATAAATCAAGCATTCCTAACTTTTCGTATACTTGGCTGTAAAGAATACTCATATTGTATTTATATATTGTCTAGGACGTCTAGGTTACACCCCAAACTTGTAAAACATAGGTGGGGACTTACATCATTGTATAAAGTGTACAACCGGATCAATTCGTTAGGTTTAAGTTTATTGCTAAGAGAGTAATTTTCATTTCCATATCGACTACATTCCTCTTCATCATCCTATTTGTATCGTAGTTATCATATAACAATTGTACTCCATGGCTGTTGCGTTGCACATCAGTCGCTGCCGCCGATTCACAGTGCATCTACTAACCGTCATTTCTGTCGCCTCACGCCAATCCGATCTTCCTGTATTTATTATAAATGGGAATTGCCTGAAATGCAATTTTCTTTGTTAACCAATGTGATACCATCAATGACATTTTGCTAACATAAGTATTGTATTGCTAGGTCAGTTATAGTTCCACTGCCAGATTCTTTGTTGTTTTTTGTAATGTCTTGGTGTGTAAGATAAGATATTTCGAAAAATAAAAGAGTGTGTGCATGAAGTTCACAATGCTTGAAGCAGTGTGCGGCTAAATCGTAGATGGTTTGTTACCTATCAACCCCATCTTAAACCCTCAAACTGGCAAAAATATCAGATAAAGTCAGTGATTAAAATTAAATTTACCAAGCTCCACCTAGTTCCATAATTTCGGACTTTGACACGATTTTTTCATCCTCAATTGAGAAACGCGTACTGGGATGTACTGTTTTCACTCCTTATATCACTGATGTAAATTTTCCGTTTGTTTACGTCTCTGAGGTTTTTGCCATGGTCTTACAACGTGCAAGTAAAAATCACCTTCAAAACCGTGAAAAAAATATAAGCATCTGTAGAAAATAATGGCAGACGGTGCCAGACACATTCGTGATAATAACGACTTTTATCAGTGACAATCTGCGATTGAATCTGCGTATTTTTCCTGGCACTTAATGTGACAATGCATTTTTTCTTGTCTTGAGAAAGCTGTAACACTACTAAACGCCTTTTTTCTCTCTAGTGTGAGTAATAGTTAAATTTACTAACACTTTATGCTTTTACCGAACTCTTATTGACGAATTCAACGTGTAGTATAGTTGCCTTTGATCAGACGTTCTCACAATACAGCTCCACATGACGCGACGCTTCGAGCAGCAAAAGTTTTAAAAACAAGGACAAGTCATAAATTTGAGCCATTGATCGCAATCTGAAAACACATTTTATTTTTAAGTCATGAAACTGCTTATTGGTCATGCGTTTTTTCGCATGCGTCTGTAGCTCACTCACTACTTCAACACACAATACTTCACTGCGCGCGCTATATTATTGAAAATAATCCCTATCACAACATTTCCATGGCCAAGAAGAATAAATCGCACCTTAAATGTTACCAATTCAGTATGAGTAATCAACCCTTTCTCTCTAGATTCATTTATTTCTATTATTTTGTTTTCTTACATTCTTCAGGGGCAGCCGGGTCTTGATGGAATGAAGGTATGTGTACTCGGCGCCGCTTGCTTTTCCCTGTAGAAAGTAAACGCGGGTGAATTGGGCCAGTTAGTGCCGGCTCATATTCGTGCACCGCGGCATACTGACTGCCGAACGTGTTTGCCGTGATGGGAGTGCGGGGGCGATTTCCTGACCGTGTGTTGCAGTGGGGGCAGTGTTCGGAAAGTGCCTCCACACTTCACAGTTGCCGCGTTTGGCGTGCACTGTGCACAATACAGCACGTGCACTGTCTGAACTCACCCGCGTTCGTTTTTTTATAGGGAGGACCCTTTCATAATAAAAAAAAACAGTACAGCCACTCAAACGACTGAACTAAGATAACGCACGCTACCCACGTCAGCGTATTAGACTTTTGCTTTTGGTGCTGAAAAGATGCTTTCCTAACAATTCCGTTAACATGCATGAAAACCACGTATGCAAAACTTGCGTCATGTTTGAGGTACGCTTTGTTTAGAGACACAATATCGTAATGTGTTACAAATTGTTCTACAGGGTGGCCAAGGAGAACCAGGGTCCAAAGGCGAAAGAGGCGAGCCGGGTCTTCCGGTAGGTACCACTCTAAGAGAAATAAGTGTTCTGTTTTAGGTGTGCTATGGATGCTGTGTGACAGCTAATACTTAATCTAGTTGTGCTGCCTTAACAATATGCAGTCCACCCAGATATTGCTTCTCCGTTTAACCTGTGTTTGTTAACGTCCACTTTCTCTGTCTTGCAACCAGGGCACGGACGGAATCCCAGGCCAAGAGGTAAAGCTATCCTTATCTATAACCTTACCTCCCTTTACTTACCCACCACACTTCTCTCCAAACTACAAGACCAAATAACGTAAATCACCCGTCTGGGTTAAAAAAAAAATAACAGCTAATTTTACTTTGGTCATGTGTTAGGAGTGGCGAATGCCAAAGAATAAAGCCATGCATCAGAGACAAGGCTAGATTATTGGCGCTGACAGTTGAGTTCTCAAATGAGTAATATCTCAATGTTTTTTCCACAGGGCCCCAAGGGTGAGAAAGGCGCCATGGGCGAAACTGTAAGTACACCGAATTCGGCCTGGGGTAAACGGTGTTTTGCACGCTGAGGGAGAAATAAACAAAGAGGGAATACCTTGTTCATGCGTTGGCAGGGACCGCCGGGCAAACGTGGACGGAAAGGAGACAAGGGAGACAAAGGCGCACAGGGCGTGCCAGGGCTCGACGCGCCTTGTCCACTGGGAGAGGATGGCCTTCCACTGGCTGGCTGTGGCTGGAGACCGCCGTCGGTACGTTTAACATTAATGTCTCAGTACTTTTCTCGCGACCCACTCGCCTCAAATCATTGGCTAACATGGTGTGGTGTTGGTGTCTCGCTTGACTAACCCCGCACACCCGCTAACAGGACCTGTCCATCCCCACCGCTGCGCCACCCTCGTACCGCAATTCCATGCACGGAATGCCTTCGCAACAGTCGCACGCCACAGCGTCGGACGACTTCGACAACGACTATGATGAGAATGGAGCAGACGAAGAAGACGGCGAGGAAGACGATGGTTAATCCCAGTTCACTTTTTTGTTAATACCTATATACTGACTTATTCACCTAGCTTCCCTTTCTTAACTAGGTGGATAGGCAACTATAATTGTGCTGCCGAGCCCTTCTCTATTTTGGCATCCCGTTTCATGTGTGTTTTTCGTTACAGAATGAGCTGCGGCAGTGGAATGAAGACGATTGAAGGAAGTGTAAAAAAAGTGTACTTAGTGTAAGAAAGTGTACAAAAAGAATTCGAGGATCGTGTTAAGTGACAGTACAGATCTGTACATGCTCGGCATAGTTGGCGCCGACACAAAAAACAATCGTATTTCACTATGAAATGAAAACACAAGACACCCTCGTGCAATATGCTTAAGTTAATTGTAAGTAAATTAATTGAATTAAGTTAATTACTTGTAATCTCCATTTGAAAATAAGACTGAGCAGAACGCAAACATTTATCATATTGAGTGTGGAGACAATCTTATGTCAGTTTATTAAAATACACGAACGTAGCAGTTTGCAGGATATCTTTTGTTTGCCCTAGCTTTGTGGCATTTGCAGTCTCACACGTCCATAATATACCGAGAAACATATAAAACCACAATTTCAGCGGTGATCTGCCAATATATGTTGTCGCGGTGTATACTTGTCCTATGAACCGCGGGTTCACCAACGACCCAAGCTCCCCGGTTTGACCGTAAACTATCGCCTACCGTGATTGCCTTTCTCTATAGCGGGCTACCGGTGGCTAATGATTGTTGCCGTCGCTCACGCACAGTAGTGACTTTAATTTTTTGTCAGCATTCCCGCAATGCTTCCTTTAAAATAGAAAGTAATTTGTTGTTTGTCAGGTGTTGCTTAGGCTACAAGAGGGGTGCCTAGGCAAATTTTAACTTTGGGAAAATTACAATCCGTTGGCCAATTTAGTTTAACTTTGTGCGCTCCAGTGAAACACACTGAGGCCGTATGATTTTTGAAAGAAAGATGAATTGCCACCTGTAACGTTCAGTAAGAATAAAGTTGTATATACTGTATACTGTAGTATCTAATTCGATGTTTGTAAAGCGCATATTTTGTACATTTATTGACGTTTACGTTAGCACGTATCTCTGACACAATGATAACAAAGATGTCATGACTAAGTTGTCTGAAATGCCAAAGAAACCCTGCTCATACTGTGTTCTCGACAGAAATGCTAAGAACTCATGTGTTTGTTTATCATTTGCAAACTTTCACCGATAGAATAACTGTTGTGGTACCGGGTGTCCCGGCTCTTACATGCCAGTACGTTGGGTTGCCTATGCACTGGCAGCAGGGGCTGCAGGCGCGGGGCGGGTGGCGGAGGAGTGAAGGGAGCTGCCACTCCTCCGCCACCCGCCCCGCGCCTGCACCCCCTGCTGCCAGTGCATAGGCAACCCAACGTACTGGCATGTAAGAGCCGGGACACCCGGTACAGTAAGAGAAATGTTCCCTAAAATTCAGCTTGTTCCTGCAAACTTTCACGTGGTCTCTTGATATTTCAAACAGATGTGTGATATAAATAATTAGGAACGTGTATATGCACTTGGAATGGTGTGTAGTCTCTATCAAAAATAGAATTACAACTGCAAGTAGATTTATGGCAATCAAATTTGTACATTTCTTCGTATTGTGTAGTATTTATTACCGTGATTGAAAATAAGAAATATTTGCAAAATAAAAATAAAAAATTTGATCAACTCAAATCCTTATATTTTTACTGGTTGCTACCACCTTGTCAGTTGCTTGAGTGATATACTCCACACTCTACAACGAGAAAATTGGAACACGAGACATATGCCCGTTTTCTTGATTTCCGAACTGTTTCCAGAACGTTGTTAGGACATATCGTGACTTTTGCCGCGTTGCTGACAAGCCATTATCTGTTCATCTGCATCTCAGCAGGAAACTCAAGTGCCCGTCGTGACGTATACCTCGGACCATCCCTAGCAAAAAAACAAACATGACATAAGAATATGCAATAAAAAGGGCTAGTGGAAATGTTGAAAAGTCTCATTATAAATAAGCTGCTCAGTTTTAAGTGGACCAAGAATAAACCTACAAAAGCTAGACCTTGGTACCCGCTATTCGTCACGTAGGTGGAATTTTAATCACAAAAAAGGAAAAGGATAAATTACGTCGTTTTCTGCGATGTGTAAAGTGGATTCATATTAAAAATTCTCTTATCCTTTACTAATGGTGGCTAAGTGGGGTACTACAAAGGAATCACAGCACAGACAAAAGGAAGATAAGGAACGAAGATTCCACGACGAAGGGGTATAAAAGAGCACCTGTTAGCTGCAAACGGCACTCTGTAACCTATCTCAGGTGAGTACTAAAGCCAGGCGTTATTCATATTTACGATGGCAGCGTTGCTCATTTCGTTAAGAGCGGATATCCCCGTTCCCCGCAAAATTCTTACAAATTTTATATTTTCATTCATTTATTTTGCAGACATCATGAAGGTCCTCATCGTTCTCGCCGCCTGCGTGGTGGCCGCCATGGCCGCCATCCCCTCCGACATGGAGATC